CAAAGTTTGTATTGTTGTTATATAAAAAATATCACCAACGTATCATAGTAGCACGCTACTAAGACGCCAATGAACAAAACTCCACGTATCATAGCGCTAATGCACTAAGACAAGAAGTTGAGTATCCCTCTTACACTTAAAAGTGCTACCAAACACACTCATCATCCCAATCCGAAAGATAGACGACACATCGCTATGCGCAACGACGTCGCCCACAAACGGTATGGGTGTGTGATATCCACGGGGAAGCCGTATTGCTACAACAAACCCGCTTACCATCGGCACTTAGATGTTAATTGTATACCTCCATCGACCAGAACCTCAAGAGAGCGTCGAATCAGGCGCAGCACACCCGCAGATCCATCACAAGACGCAATACCGCAAGTAGCAGTAAGCATCAATGCAACTATCATACGGGTGGCGCCCCCTCACAACACACCCACATGAACCCTATCGACTTTGGTAACAAAGTTTGTATTGTTGTTATACAAAAAATATCACCAACGTATCATAGTAGCACGCTACTAAGACGCCAATGAACAAAACTCCACGTATCATAGCACTAATGCACTTAGACATGAAGTTGAGTATGCCTGTTACACTTAAAAGCGCTACCAAACACACTCATCATCCCAATCCGAAAGACAGACGACGCATCGCTATGCGCTACGACGTCGCCCACAAACGGTATGGGTGTGCGATGTCCACGGGAAAGCCGTATTGCTACAACAAACCTGCTTACCATCGGCACTTAGATGTTAATTGTTTACCTCCATCGACCAGAACCACAAGAGTGCGTCGAATCAGGCGCAGCACACCCGCAGATCCATCACAAGACGCAATACCGCAAGTAGCAGTAAGCATCAATGCAACTATCATATGGATGGCGCCCCCCTCACAACACACCCACATGACCCCTATCGATTTTGGTAACAAAGTTTGTATTGTTGTTATATAAAAAATATCACCAACGTATCATAGTAGCACGCTACTAAGACGCCAATGAACAAAACTCCACGTATCATAGCGCTAATGCACTAAGACATGAAGTTTAGTATGCCTGTTACACTTAAAAGTGCTACCAAACACACTCATCATCCCGATCCGAAAGACAGACGACGCATCGCTATGCGCTACGACGTCGCCCACAAACGGTATGGGTGTGCGATGTTCACGGGAAAGCCGTATTGCTACAACAAACCTGCTTACCTTTTTCTACGTGGTAGAGCCATGCTGCAGTTATATTAGTAGTATAGTTGTAGCACGAATGGGTCGGCTCGACCGGGGAAGGACCACGCTCTCACAGAATACCAGCGTGAAATAGTAGCTTAATGCTGCTGTATTTCGTATGGTGAGTGTAGAGAACCGGAGACCCTTTTTACTGAAAATGAGGCATTCCATCTCAGTCCTCACGGGTGACAACGCATCTGCATTTTGATTTGTAATGGAAGATAGATGTAGATGTCTATGGGCCGCAGCAACCACTTACCATCAGGTGGACTGTGTGCTCGTTTGTCAGCCTATTCTATAAAAAAAAAAAAAACCACCGGCACTAAGATGTTATTTGTATACCTCCATCGACCAGAACCACAGGAATGCGTCGAATCAGGCTCAGCACACCCGCAGATCCATCACAAGACGCAATACCGCAAGTAGCAGTAAGCATCAATGCAACTATCATACGGATGGCGCACCCTCACAACACACCCACATAATCCCTATCGACTTTGGTAACAAAGTTTGTATTGTTGTTATATAAAAAATATCACCAACGTATCATAGTAGCACGCTACTAAGACGCCAATGAACAAAATTCCACGTATCATAGCGCTAATGCACTAAGACATGAAGTTTAGTATGCCTGTTACACTTAAAAGTGCTACCAAACACACTCATCATCCCAATCCGAAATATAGACGACGCATCGCTATGCGCTACTACGCCGCCCACAAACAGTATGGGTGTGCGATGTCCACGGGAAAGCCGTATTGCTACAACAAACCCGCTTACCACCGGCACTAAGATGATATGTCTAGGACACATCGGTTAGCGAGTCCAAGTTTACCTCGGACCAATTGCTCGCGAAGCAGCACACACGCCACCATAATATTCCTTTTGAAGTCCCTAATAAGGACTAGTCATTTTGCTACAGTACTAGGAGCAGTCGGTCACCCGACCACTCCATACAATGCTTATGCATCAAGGAAACCTTCAATAATAATGCTTTTGTATCATAGACCTTACTTTCATAAGTCATTCATATATAGGATTCGAACCCACGACCCTACTATTGTAATGCATATTAATCATAGAGACCTTCTATATTATTGCTTTTGTATCATAGACCTTACTTTCATAAGTCATGCATATATAGGATTCGAACCCACGACCCTACTATTGTAATGCAAATTCATCATCATGGATGTCAATGCGTATAAACGCCATACAGAATACGAACGAATCCAGCCACAGTGAATGTACATCACACGGTTTAGGCAAATAGGCACACTGGCCGTAAACCCTCCGTGAGCGCCACCACCTGCCAGACCGCCGCTCCTGCAGACGTGATGTAAGTGTATGGCATCACCACCGATTGCATGATCAGCACGGCTACTAGCCGCAGAGCGTGTCATGAGTCTCAAGGGAATGGGGTCCCACGTTGTGCGACTTTCGGCCGCAGCCTTGAGAGTCTCCTCAGATCCTCCCGCCAGCTACCACCCGCATAAGGTCGACACATAAGCTCCACCAACCAATACAACGGCAGATATAGCCAAAAGGCAGTTATAAGATAAGAGTAATAATTCGCCATCAGAAAGGGTTTGTGTCACTGACGTTGAGTAAATGCATTTTCGATCATGTTTGTCTCACTCACCAACAAATTGCCTTAAATAATTCAAAGGTAAGAAAGTTACAGAGATATATTATTATGTTGTTATATAAAACATCATGGAGGGCAGACAGTCTGCAGCCCCGTAATGAAGGGACCCGACTTGGGCAAAGCTACTTAGGTGTGAGTCAAACCAAGACGCAGAGAGCGCCATTGAGAATAGCGTCCCACGCGTGTGTTTGGTAGCACTTTTAAGTGTAACAGGCATACTAAACTTCATGTCTTAGTGCATTAGCGCTATGATACGTGGAGTTTTGTTCATTGGCGTCTTAGTAGCGTGCTACTAAGACGCCAATATATAATAATAACCATCGCAGAGACGCAATGCTGCAGAACGCAACAAGCATTAATATGACTATTGTCGGGCTTACAACATCCCAAGGTCCCCCATACATCAGCAGAAATCATCACCCGCTTACCTCAATCAGGCGCAGCACACCCACAGATCCATCTCAAGACGCAATACCGCAAGTAGCAGTAATCAGTAATGCAGCTATCATACGAATGGCGCGCTCTCACAACACACCCACATGACCCCTATCGATTTTGGTAACAAAGTTTTTATTGTTGTTATATAAAAAATATCACCAACGTATCATAGTAGCACGCTACTAAGACGCCAATGAACAAAACTCCACGTATCATAGCGCTAATGCACTAAGACATGAAGTTGAGTATGCCTGTTACACTTAAAAGTGCTACCAAACACACTCATCATCCCAATCCGAAAGATAGACGACGCATCGCTATGCGCTACGACGTCGCCCACAAACGGTATGGGAGTGCGATGTCCACGGGAAAGCCGTATTGCTATAACAAACCTGCTTACCACCGGCACTAAGATGTTATTTGTTTACCTCCATCGACCAGAACTACAAGGATGCGTCGAATCAGGCGCAGCACACCCGCAGATCCATCACAAGACGCAATACCGCAAGTAGCAGTAAGCATCAATGCAACTATCATACGGATGGCGCGCCTTCACAACACACCCACATGGCCCCTATCGATTTTGGTAACAAAGTTTTTATTGTTGTTATATAAAAAATATCACCAACGTATCATAGTAGCACGCTACTAAGATGCCAATGAACAAAACTCCACGTATCATAGCGCTAATGCACTAAGACATAAAGTTGAGTATGCCAGCACACACGCCACCATAATATTCCTTTTCAAGTCCCTAATAAGGACTAGTCATTTTGCTACAGTACTAGGAGCAGTCGGTCACCCGACCACTCCATACAATGCTTATGCATCAAGGAGACCTCCTTTAATATTGCTTTTGTATCATAGACCTTACTTTCGTAAGTCATGCATATATAGGATTCGAACCCACGACCCTACTATTGTAATGCAAATTCATCATGGAGACCTTCTATAGTATTGCTTTTGTATCATAGATCTTACTTTCATAAGTCATTCATATATAGGATGCGAACCCACGACCCTACTATTGTAATGCATATTAATCATAGAGACCTTCTATAGTATTGATTTTGTGTCATAGACCTTACTTTCATAAGTCATTAATATATAGGGTTCGAACCCACGACCCTACTATTGTAATGCATATTCGTCATAGAGACCTTCTATAGTATTGTTTTTGTATCATTGAGTTTATTATCATAAGTCCCTAATATAGGACTAGTCATTGTGCTACAGTACTTCAGGCAGTCGGGCTCCCGACCACCCCATATATATGTACAACTGCAGGTATGTATCTCCGACAGCTCCTCCATACAAGACATCTATACATGAACACCTTCCATAACTTAGGAAAATTTTCTTTTATACATGAACTCCTTCCAAGACTTAGACAATTTTTAACAAATTTTCTAATTATCTTATAAATGTTATTTTTATAATATTTTTTCAAGTTTTGAATAAATTTAGTTATTATGGAAGACAATATTTTGCCTTTAATTTACTATGTTATTGGTCTAATGTCTGAAATGTATTTATATTAACTTTATGGTTATTAATGTAATTTTATTGTTTAATATATCTTTTAAGACTATTTTTGACGCCCATTAATATTGAATTTAATTATTAATAATAATATTGGGCCGTCACAATATCATCATTGTAATTGTCATTGTCATCATCATCATTAAGTTATTAAGTAATCATCATCGTCATCTTCATCATCATCGTCATAGTCATCATCATCGTCATCATCATCATCATCATCATCATCATAGTCATCGTCATCAACATAATCGTAATCATCATCGTCATCATCATCGTCATCGTCATCGTCATCATCATCGTCATCGCCATCTACATTATCATTATCATCATCACCATCATTATCATCTTCATACTCGTCATCATCGTCATCGTCATCATCATCATCGTTATCGTCATCTTCATCATCTTTGACATCATCATCGTCATCGTCATCGTCATCGTCATCATTATCGTCATTATCATAATCGTCATCGTCATCGTAATTTATCATCGCCATCTTCATCATCATCATCAACATAATCGTAATCATCATCGTCATCATCATCGTCATCGTCATCATTAACATGGTCATCGCCTTCTTCATCACTATTATCATCATCACCATCATCATCATTATCATTTTCATACTCTTCATCATCGTCATCGTCATCGTCATCATCGTTGTCGTCATTTTCATCATCTTTGACATCATCATCATCATCGTCATCGTCATCGTCATCATTATCGTCATTATCATAATCGTAATCGTCGTAATTTATCATCGCCATCGTCATCATATTATCATCTTCATGATCATAATCGTCATTATCATAATCGTAATCGTCGTCGTAATCATTATCGCCATCTTCATCGTATTTTCATCTTCATATCATCATCAACATTATCATCGTCATCATCATCGTCATCATCATCGTCATCATTATCTTCATCGTCCTCGTGATCGTCATCATCATCGTTAGCTTCATCGTCATCATCAACGTCATTATCATCGTTATTTTCATCGTCATTATCATAGTTTACTACTTATTTCGCCAGTAGATTTTTTTTAAATAATTAACTTTATAAAATAACACGGTCACAGTAGCCTGGCTCTAGGAAATCACTTAACTTAAATATAAGACACATGTATATCGCTTTAAATATTAAGATATTTTCTGAGCAAATTGAGCACTTTTTAATTAAATATAGATGTTGGTTGTAATAAATAAGATACTGATAACACCCACAATAGCAACTTTTTCTTTTTATTCGTATATCCTCGCCTGGGCACAGGCACAGGTCACCTTTAATTTCTAAGAGGCCTTTAGGCTTAGATTTTAAGGCAAGGAAATATCTGCTTCGCTGCTCATTTTACTACACACTTCTGTATATTTATTAGTGCCAGCAGGGATCGAACCCAAGTGGCTTGCGTTATTTAAATTTAACAGCAAGCTGATTGGCTGATTTAATAAATAAAACGTGAGAGGTGTGCAGCAATGAACTTTTACAGGCTAAAGAATAAGAAGAAATCTAATCCATCCTTTAGTTTAGAACACAAAAAAATATCAACTAATATATCCATACTAATGCGAAAGTGTGTTTGTTTGTTTGTTTGTTTGTTTGTCCTTCTTTCACATCGCAACAGTGCGTCGGCCGGCACGATTTTTTGTATGGGGATAGTTCGGTGGCTGTAGAGTGACATAGGCTACTTTTTTCAGCGGCAAAACCTATCATTCCCGTGGAAAAATCGAATATGTTGCAAAATTAAATTCATCTAGGTGGCGCCACCGTGATTCTACAAGACGGACGATGGTACGATGGACGAACACAGAAGGTCAGAATATCTGGATTATTATGTCTTTTTACCAAAGTTAAGATAAAAAATGTATGCATCTGTACTTTTCCACGCACGACCGGGAAGAGAGCGATAAAAAACATAAAATTCATCAGCTGATTTTCTTCAAACGTTTTGGTGCATTGTAATTCACAGAATAGGCGATAACCTCGCAGACGATATTAAGTAATCCGTTGATGCTATGCCTACCCCGCAAGGGTTACAGGCGTGATTATAAGTATGGATCAGAAATACTATCACCACCTGTCACGCTTTCACCCTTAACCATTACTTAACTGTGGTAGAAACAGTCCTTAGTAAGCCATACTAATAAGCCTTAGTTATACAGAGGTTGACCCCATCCAGAGAATATTTATTGAACGGAAGTGAATACAGTTCATATATGTGGTTATGAATGAATCGGTATTACAATAAGAAAAATTGTGCAAAATTATAAGAAAAAAATGTTTTGAGAGTTCTTATTAACTAACGTATACAGAGTTTAAATTGATTCCGCTAGATGTCGTTACTAGGTTTTTAAAACGCGGTAACGAAATGTTTCCTGACATGTACTTAACTCCCGCCGTTGAGCCGCGCGTACCTATAGGCTTAAATTGTTTCTATTTCGTAGCTTATTCGACTACCAGCTTTCGATTTCGCTTGTTTGTTATTTGCTTTGTGATTTGGTTAAGGTTGAAAGGATTTATATTGGCTTTCGTTTTTGGATTTGTGTATTTTCTTGGATCGGTTTTGTTGATTTGGTTGGTATTCCTTTATACATATTTAGACTCTGGCTTTGATTTTGGATTTTGTTAATTTAGAATCGTGAATTAGTTTTCGTTGTTTTAGGTTGTTTAACAATATTTCAAAGGAATATTAATAGTATAGATAGTGTATACGGTACCTATACACTTACTTCTTTTTTCGTTGGTTATATTTATATTGACAACTGCTTTCGATTTCGGTTTTCTGCCATTTGTTTTGTGATTTGGTTTAAGTTGATTAGATTTTTTTGGCTATCGTTTTCGGATTCGTGTTGTGTCTTGAATTGGTTTTTTTGTTTTGATTTTAAAAAATTTAAAAGGAATATTTATTCTTTTTAGATATTTTGGATTTGCTTAAAAATATTTCAAAGGAAATTTAATTCCTCTTAGGTATTTTAACGTTTTTTTATAAATAGGTTTTTTGTTACTTCATAATGCCTCGCAAACGTAAGTCCAGCCTTTCAAGAGTATCTTCTCAAAGACAAGCGAAAAGATTAGCTCAATCGCTAGAATCTTTAGAAGATGCTGAACTGAGAAGGCAAGAACAAGCAGAGCGTCGGGCTGCTTTTAGAGCATCTGAGACACCTTCTCAAAGTCAGGAAAGGCGTCTTGAACAGGCAGAGCGTCAAGCTACTTTAAGAGCTACTGAAACACCTGCTCAAAATCAGCAAAGGCGTCTTGAACAGGCAGAGCGTCAATCTACTTTAAGAACTACTGAAACACCTGCTCAAAGTCATCAAATGGTATTCAAATAAGCGGAACGTCAGGCCGCCTTAAGAGCCGCGGAAACACCTGATGAAACTCAACACAGACTCATTGAGAAAGCTGAACGTCAATCTACTATAAGGGCATCATAAACACCAGAACAGACACAGGCACGAAGAGATGCAAATGCACAGCTCCAAGATGAACTTCGACAAAATTTTCAAAGAAACAATTGGTCGGTTTTTAATGACGCAGCATTCAATTATGATCCGTTGATTGATTATAAAAATTACAGGTTAGTTATTATCCGACTGATGAACAAGGCGTGTCGATTTTGCAGCGCTTTAAAATGGAAAGATGAGACCGCAGGCATGTGCTGTTCCAATGGCAAATTGTCTCTTCCGTTACTTGGGGAACCAGAAGAACCTTTGAAAACTCTCTATTTATATGATTCTAATGAGTCACGGCGCTTTTTAAACAGGATCCGGAAATATAACTCATGCTTTCAAATAACCTCCTTCGGAGTTGACCGGGAAATAATAATTCCGGGATTTTCGCCTCCATTTATGGTGCAAGGGCAAATTTATCATACACTTTTTCCAGCTGAACACGAATAGCATAAATTTTTACAAGTATATTTTATGGGTGACGAATAAATTGAGGTAGACCGTCGCTGCCAATTTATCCAGGGAGTTGAGAGAGACACAGTGTTAAAAATTCAAAGATTCTCACATTAAGGTAACATTTTAGTCAAAATATTAAAAACTGCTTTAGAAACCCTACCTGAAGAGGATTATAAAGTCGTCATTCACGCAGATCGGACCCCTCGAGGAGAACATAAAAGGTGCTACAATGCACTTTTGATAAACGAAATAGCAGCCGTAATTAGTGGTGATCAATTTTCTCCACAAGACATTGTCTTGCGAGCACGTGATGATACGCTGAAACGGGTAGCCGATACACACAAGCTTTATGACGCTCGGCAATACCCATTGATTTAATGCAAAGGACAAGAGGGTTATCATTTTCAATTTCCACTCATTAACACGGTCACAAAGGAGCCAACTCCGAACAAAAAGGTATCATGTATGGATTTTTATGCGTATCATATGATGTTGCGAGAAAATGATTTTAACCTCTTAGCCCGGTGTAGACAATTACTTCATCAATTTTTGGCAGACATGTATGTGAAGGTAGAAAGTGAACGTCTCCGTTATATATCTTTAAAACAAAAAAGCTGCGCGTTGAGAATTATATATATTTACAAGATGCAGTTTCTAGCGACGCCAATAAAAACCCCAGAGATTTAGGTAAAATGCTAACTCTGCCCTCATCATTCGTTAATCCCGTAACAGTCCCCGCTACCTACATGAGTACACACAAGACGCATTCGCCTATGTACGAACTTACGGAAGACCTGATCTTTTTGTTACTTTTACTTGCAATCTCACATGGAAAGAAATAACCGAGTAGCTAATGCCGGGCCAAAAAAGTACTGACAGACACGATTTAGTTGCTAGAGTATTTAGATTAAAAGTACAAAAATTAATGTATGTAATCAACAAAGGGAAAATTTTCGGAGAGGTGCAGTGCTCCATGTATTCAATTAAATGGCAAAAAAGAGGATTACCGCATATCCACATTCTAATATGGCTTAAAGAGAAGTTGCTGCCCAGCCAAATAGACGACATAATAAGCGCCAAGATTCCGGATTCTGAGCAAGATAAAGAATTGTATGATACCATCGTCCGAAATATTATTCACGGTCAATGTAGAGCACGAAATTCAATATCGCCATGTATGAAAGAAGGAAAATGTACAAAGAAATTCCCTAAACAGCTATTAAAAGAAACAGTGCACAATGACAATGGCTACCTTTTATACAAACGCAGAGCTCCCAAAGATGGTGGCAGGAAAGTTACAATCAAATCTCGTTCTGGAGCGTTCAAAACCTTAGATAACAGCTGGATATTCCCATATTCGCCCATTCTATGTAAAATTTTTAATGCCCACATTAATGTAGAAGCATGTAGCTCTGTCCGCGCAATCAAGTATATCTGTAAGTACATAAATAAAGGAAGCGACCAAGCAATATTTAATCTCAGGAGTGAAGGTGAGGCAAATCCCGTTAATGAAGTACAGACCTTTCAAGCAGGGCGTTATGTCAGCAGTAGAGAGGCAGAGTGGCGTCTCCATGGCTTCCCTTTACACGAAAGGCACCCAACAGTTACTCACCTATGCTGTGCACTTAAAAAATGGAGAGCGTGTATATTTCACCGAAAGAAATGTCCAAGAAAGAATTGCATCACCGCCAAAAACTACACTAACAGCCTTCTTTCAACTTTTTCAAACCGACACCTTTGCAAAAACCTTGTTATATTCTGAAGTCCAGCGCTATTATACTTGGAACACATCTAGGAAGGAGTGTAAATGCCGTATTTAGGGCGCGCCTGTTGCAAATTGGCCCGGTGTAAAGTCATCAGATGCCCTT